AATGAGATGAGATCCCTGTGTCTTGCTTCTCAGCTAATTTAATAATTATTTCAAAGGAGTTTCACATTTACTTATATTTCTGATTTGTTTTGTGGCTTTTGAGGTAATTCTATTGTACCAACACTATTTTAAACTGAATATGTGATTAGAAGTCCTACAATACAGGAATAGTCAAGAGGTAACAACACAGTTATTCAATGATTTTGAGAGAATATATTTATTACATTTAAATTTCCTGTACAAATTATTAGGTTTATGCAGAACTTCTTATAAAATCTTTCAGTATAATCATGAATTCAAGTATTGTTGATTTATATTTGGTGTGTTGGGGCAGTCAGAAATCAAATAGGATGTGGGAGAATTCTCTCTACATTGGGTTATGTGATATATTGCAGTATAGTTTACTACATGTCAATCATAAACCAAAGATGCCCCCACAGATTTCCTAAACATGTGGTAACTGCCACAATCACCATATTTAAGAACCATTGCTCTATATGCCAAAATAGTTTCAAGATATTTAACAGTTTGAGCTCACTCATTGAATGTTAGTCACTAAGGGGCAATGTAAAGAAAAGATCTTGTTCCCCTTGACATGGATAATGGTCTAGCTAAATTGTAAAGTCTGAAAATGCCATTTCCTTTCTTACATCTTTTCCTTGGCTTATCCATTTATACATGAAATGTGGGATTCCTGCAACAAGAATTCTTTCTATCTTTCCAAGCTTTCTCCAAATGCTTTCCATCATTTATCTCCTCCTGAATGTTGGAGTACTAACTGTATTGGAGCTACTCCCCATGCCATGTCTTGACTCTGTGCCTCTGTCTCTGAGCGTATTGTCCCCTTAGTTTGTCACTTTATTTGGGAGGCTCATTCCAAGGTCATGTTACAAAATTCAGTTCCTGGGTGAACTCTCTGGAAAATCTTCTCTCCCAGGAAGTCAAGTCTGAACCACTGGCCTGGATTAAATGAACCACAAAGTTCCCTGGGGCTTGCACCCATTTTTTTTTTTTTTATATTGGGAATTGAACTCAGGAGCACTCAACTACTGAGCCACATCCCCAGGCCTATTTTGTATTTTATTTAGAGACAGGGTCTCACTGAGTTGCTTAGTAACTCACTGTTGCTAAGGCTGACTTTGAACTCAAAATCCTGTTTCAGTCTACCATGCTGCTGGGATTACAGGCGTGTGCCACTGTGTCCAGCTTTGCACACATCTTCAGATACACTTTCTCCAAGAATCAGAGGTGATCTGTTTGTCTTGGTCCCACTAGCTTGATCCTACAATCTGTCTCTAGACTGCAAGCTCTTCAAGGGCATCAACCATATTTATTGATCTTTGTGTTTCCAGTAATAATTTGTTTAATGCTACTTTGAGTATCCCACCACCAGCCTTTGCTGACCCCCTGACTGTATAGAGGACAGGAAACCTTGATTAATTAGAAGTGGATAAAAGGAGGATCTTCATACCATACTTCTTTCTTCCTTCCTTTTTTTTTTTTTTTTTTTTTTTTCTGGTGAAAAGGCACATTTAACTGGTTGGCTTGTGAGAGAACCTTTTTTTTTTTGTTGTTGTTGTTGCTATATAAATATTCAAAGCTGGGAAATTTATAAAGAACAGAGGTTTATTTAGATCTTTTCTTTTTAATTATTTTTCCTGTTAAACAAATGCTTTATTAAAACTAACATACACAAACTAGAAAGCTCTAAGAAATTTAAATATTCATCGTGGGATGCCATCTGTGAAATACACGAGGATCTTCTTTGGGCATGGAAGCCAGGGAGGGAGGCCTGACATTGGGAACTTTCTGTGGCTCTCCCATGGCAATAGATTGCCCAATGCATGTGACCTTTCCCTCTGCTCTGCTAGGAAGGTTCCTCATAGTAGCTCTGGAGATGGGCGAAACCCATTGGTAACTGAACAGCCCAGCTTTAACCTTTTTTGGAAAAGAACATTCTATAGAATCTCTTTGATGTTTCCCAATAAAGCTGGCACAGGCTCCATTTTGTCCAGAAGCTTGATCTGTCTGATCAGCTTGCCAGCTTGCCCGTCTTGTCCCCGCTTTTGAAACTACTTTCTGTGTTCGGTGGTTTTTTTCTCTGTATTATTTCTCTTAGCTTTTATTTCTCAGCCAAACCATTCCACCGAAGGGAACTCCATTTCCATTGCCTGCACTGGACGTGGGTGGGAATTCATGTTATAGCAAACAGATGGCAATTCTACTTCAAGGGTTGACAGAATGCTTGAAGGGGACTGCCACAGTGCCGTGTTCGTGGTGGTTTCTTCATAGGTGAAGGGGACCTAGCTGCAATAGTTTTTCAAGTGTTCTCCCAGTCAAGGATCGTTATAGGCACTCCACCCAAGGGGAGGTGTGCAGTCTGGTGCTCTTGCAGTGTCAAAATTCTCAAACTCTAAAAGATTGAAGGGAAAGAAAGTTTTCTAGTTCTGGATAGGTGTCATTGGAGGCAGGACAAGAGCTCTTTGCTTTAACAGTCTTCTTGGTCATCTTTTTGAAAGAGAACATTGGTTTTGTTTGAGGGGTCCATTGGTCTTTACTCTCTTTTCTGTAGCTCTGTTGACAGTTCCCACAGCCTTTCTGGCAGTTTTAGGTAAGGCTGGTGGAGCATCAGGCATCTTGCCACCATGTGATGTTGAACCCTGAGATCTCCCAACTAAGGTTTTGACAGGTCCAGGTCCCTGCTTCAGCCCATCCTCAGGAGCCACAAGGGCACATGGTTCTCCATTTTCCTTATCAACAAAGATCAGAGTAGCCATTCTGGATTTCTCCCAAATTTCACCTATGTCTTTTCTCCATAAGGTTCAAGATTGGTGGTATCTCTTCAGCCTCTGCTGAGGGCCTAGGGAAGCATGGCATCATAATGGCAGGAGTAGGTGCCAGAGCAATCACATGGTGAGACAGGAAGCAAGAGAGCTTCAGGGAGGCTGGGCTTGCCCTTTTTGTTTTTGTTTTTAAATGGCTATCCTGGGAACTAAATAGGGTCCTGGTGAGAACTACATCAATCCTTCTGAGAATGGCACTCCTAATGAAGTAATTCACCAGGCCCCACCTTTTTTTTTTTTTTAAGGCCCCCACCTTTTAAAGGTTCTCCTACCTTAACACCACCACACAAGGATCCAGCATCCAGCATATGAATGTTTAGAGGACAAACTCAAACCATATCCAAACCATAGTATCTGTGGTTTTTATTTCTCAATCAGACTAAGCCAATGTTCTCTGAGGTGTTCAAGAAAATGCACCATAGGGAGCAAAAAGTGTGTGCATAAGCACTCTGGGTAAACAAAGCCTGTTTGCAGGTGGATGCCTGTTTCAGATATGAAAACACCTTTTTGTTTTCATGTACAATAGCTATTACATTAATAAACACATAGTATTGGATCAGCATCATACAAAATTAAGAGAATATTGACAAGTCTGGAGCTTTCTTGTTCTCTTTGTATCATGGGTATGAATCACTCATTTCACAAAAATTTATTGAGGGTCTGCTATGAATCAGGTACTGCTGTAGAAGCTGGGAGTATACTAGTGACCAAGACAAGTCATGTCTCCATAATCACATACCTTTTGAATATTGTAGGAAATAGTCAATAGAGATATGGTACAATTAGAAATCTATGATGGCATAACTAGAAAATTTTATAATGTTGTGATGGAAAAAATCTGAGTAATTCAAACTTGAGAAGAATTTTAAGTGATATTTCTATGTAATTAAAATAGTTTACATAATCATATGCATTCACATAATATATTCATATTTCCAATATAATTATGATGGCTGGAGATATACTCACACATACACATAAACTAGCTCATACACACACTATAAATTTTGTTAAAAAATCACTTTAGTTGTCTTATCCAAACTTGGTTTTCAAGATGTATTTTGAATGGTTTCAAATATTTTGCTGGGTTCCTGGAGATATAAGCACATTGGTCCTAATGCTACAATTCAGAATCATATTATGAGATGGATTAGCATTAACGTTTGGCAATATGACAACTTAAAAATATTTCTTCTTAAAAGCAAATATGACCTAAACTGAGAAAGGAAAGCAAACCACATCACTTAAGCAGGCCAACTAATAGTTCTACTATTGAATTTAATTTTTAACAAAATATTAAATTGAATTAAAGTACTTTTGTAAACCTTCATACTTCAGGCAACTGAAATGCAATTTTCAGTAAGCAGACATAATGCTTTTTAAGAGGCAAAAACTTTAATCTCAAAGAAAGAAAAAATAAAATCAGGATTTTTTTCCTGAGATGAAATTTTTCCTAGAATGACTTTCAATTTGCACTATTGATTTTTTCTATGTAGGTGTTGCTACACAGAAAAAAAATGAAAGAAATGTAAGGAATAGGTACTAGAAGAAAAAAGTATTCAAAAATATGATTTTTTTCCCTTTGGAAACCAATTGGGAAGTTGGACATTAATAAGAAAACTACATTTATAATTCTCAATGAATTAAGATTTCTTAATTAAACAATGCCTACATTTGCTATGCACTAGGATTTCACATATCCACTCACAAGTAGAACACAAACTTGATAGTTTTTAGTGGGTTCTTATTCAGAGCATCATAAGGAAACAACCTTCAAATTGGTTTGAAGCTTCGATCTTATGTCAGCATCATAGCAATTTATTCAGTGATCAAGATCATATGAGTCACATTCCCAACTTTATAAAACAGAGGGAAAGATAAATATTCATTTAAAAGCTTGACTTGGTAAGGTACTTACTTAGCAGCAAACAATTTGAGATATTAAAGTTAGAAAGAGAGATACAAATTTTATTTTTCATACACAAATTTAGCCAAGTGTAGTATAGTTCTATGGCACCAGTGAAGGAAGAGTTGACTTTAAATGAATTCTCTCAAGCATCCTGGTAGCCTATTAGAGGGAGTCAATCTTTACAAGTTTATCAGCAGCCATTTGACACTATAATCAGAAATACATCCTATAATACTTGGTTTACTTACAGAACTTTAAGACTGTAAAGGCCAGCGAATGCTCCCTTGGGAATGTATGTCAGAGCGTTTCCGGCAAGACGTCTGTGGGTTTCAATGGAGAGGAAAGAGAGTGAGAAGAGCTCTCTTCATGTGGAATTCATTTAGTTGTTAAAAAATGCAGTACAACTATGTTCAAACCACAAATGCCAAAACAACTGTAAAGAACCTTGTTTTTTTTTTTTTTAAACATGGTAAGAAATTTCTATAAATTTTAAATCCAAATATTGGCAGAAGGGCCTAAGGAAAAAATGTAATACATTATCTATTTTACAATAAATCATTTAATAGCTTACACTATGTGTGTGTATACATATATTTGTATGTATCTTTCCTTTAAAAAATTTCAAACCAAAGTTATTTGCAAAAACTTAGAATGTTAAAGTATGACCATCACATAATTTTTACTATTCTTTATAATGGTGAATAAAATAATCAGACATAAAACTATTTCAGTTGCAATTATACCACATAATACCCAACTTTCTTATTAAGCTTGTAAAATATGAATGCATACCGTCACAATCAATTTTTTCTAAACCTCCAGGAATTAATTTAATTTAACATGTTTTAATTGAGCAATGCCTTACAAAATTACAACAAAGAGTTTAGAATGGAAGACATTAACACATTAATGTGGGTTTATTTAATGGAAAGTTTTGCATTCCCTGATAACATTTTAAAAGCTTGCATTATGATACTTTTCTCAGTGGAAAACAGTCAAGGTAGGAAAATACACAAAAAGTTCAATAAGGCATGTAGCTCAAACATCTGGTTCAGTACTTATTCAACATCTCAGAGTCATATCCTGGGATGTTAGACTGTCCCACAAAACAGAGAACAACCAAGTGACTCAGAGGAGCACAAAATCTTTTAAGGAGCGGATAACATCCTAGGATGGTGGTTAGAAATGAAAATCAAGATACCCCAGTCTTTTATGATGGAAATGGGGGATGGGGATAAGGGTAGAGTTGGTCCATTTGACTAGTGCTTTTTTATGAAGGGCTTAAAGGCCTCAAATGTATACTTTTTTAAAAAATTCATTCATTCTTTCTTTCTTTGTTTCTCTCTCTCTCTCTCTTGCTCTCTTTCTTTCACAGTACTAGAGACTGAATCCAGGGTGCTCTACCACTGAACTACACCCCCAGCTCTTCCTTTATTTTTTATTTTGAGACAGGGTCTCATTAAATTGATCAAATGGACCTTGAACTTATGTTCCTCCTGCCTCAGCCTCCTATATACTTTTGATATTATCTTGAAAGGGTAGATAATTCAGTCGCCAAGAATCACTGACTTGACTGAAGTAAGCCATCCTCTCTACAGCCACTGATAAAAGACTGACCATAAGTGAATATTTAAATAAATGCTTTAATTGTCTCATGAATAGAACCTCTGCATAGCATTAGTATTAAAAGCATTAATTGCTCAATTCAAATTAAACTAACATTGCATCTACCATGATTATGTAATCCTGATTTTTTTAAAAAAATCAATAACATGAGAAAGGACTTAGATCTCTCTGAGAAGTTCTGCCTATCTTGCATTTTCAGCATTTTTACTTTGTGAGTTAAGTTATTAATATTTCTGCACTTCATTTTCTTCCTAATTACATGAAATGTAAGAAGGCTTCTTAGGTCCCTCCATAGCTCCCCTACCTTCTTGTGGTTATTTGTGTTTGTGCCTGGTTTTCCTTCCCTTAACAGAGATAATCTCTTAGAAGGTTTAGAGAGCTCTTATACTGTATTCCTCCTGCCCTGCTCATGATATGTAAATAATTTTTTTCAAACAAAAAATTTAGGTGCTCAGTATAGAATTAAGAATAAAAACATAGAGTCTCCTCTATGTTAAAGAGAATACCTTGTCAGAAGTATTGTTTTCTACTTTTGTTTCCAACTATATTTGTGAGAATGGATTGTGGGGAAGAAATTTGCTTCTTCCTGTCCATGGTCAGATCATCCGAGAGCTACTAGTCTAACCATGGCAGGCATTCAATAAATATATGTTAATAACTCATCATTCAGCTTAATATTGACCAAGGTGATTTCAGTGGTGTTTTATTTATTAATTTTTTATTTCCTACAAAGTTGTCTTATAAGAAAACACGCTGACCTTCTATCAGTTCTATCCCTGTTCTGTCTCTCCCTACTCCCACTCACTCTATATTCACTGATGGTCTTTATATGGCCCAATCTGATCTTATTGCTACCCCAATCAAAAACCCTTTAGCTGTTTCCATGAAAGAATAAAAGAAATGGAAAGAAGTCCTCAGCTTCTTTCTCCACAACTCCCTTTATGCTAGAGCTGAATCAGACCTTGAGATTTGCTCTTCTTTAGAACTCCACTCTCTCCCATCTAGCCCTTTGCTCCATCCAAAATGCACTCCTTCCCATCCCTCAAAACAATCTCATTTCTGAGGATTCCAATCCCTCGACTTTGAACACCTTTGGTAGTGCTTTGTGCCTGGATTATGGATTTTATAGTCTACCTTGTGTTATTGAATGTGGCTGTTTTGTAACACATAAAACACAGGGATTGTCTTTGTATCTATTATAGGGCCTTGAACAGCATCTGAAACACAGTAGATTGCCTCATAGCACTCAGCTAAACCATTATCCCCTAGTGTCCTTCTTCCTCTTCTTCTAGAATAATTTTATTTTCCCAGTGTTTTAGCTGAGTACATGGCCACGCAGCCAGATTCTTAGTTTCAGTATATATTGCACTAGAACATGGTTACTTAACTAAGTTTGAATCTGACCAAAAGCACTATGTGAAGTTTCTGTGTCACCTCCTTAAAAGGAAGCTATTTTTCTCCAATATCCTTTATTCCCCCTTTCTTGCAGATGTGATACTGGCGAGACAGCCTCAGCGTGTGGAGATCATTTCATGGAAGGCAAAAGAACAACAAAAAATTCGCCAGTCACCTGGGCTCCTGGATGACTTTGTGAAACTAAATTGCCCCATAGCCCTGCAGTCTGTTTTGGATGAATAGCTGAATCAGTATGGGTTCCTGTTATCTTCTGCAAACAAGTTGATGACTGAAGGATTACTGAACTGGCAAGGCTGTATCACACCTGCCTAGATACTGGCCTCAAGGAATCATGTTTGCAAAGCTGCTCCAATCTTCAGCATTCACTGTCTTTGCTTTATGTTCCTTTCATCTGTGCACTGTTAGCTGGCAGTTGACACACCTGGACTGTCACAGGCAGTGCACGCTGCTGTTTCCTAACAGCCACTCTAAGTAGGGAAGAAATGTATTTAATCATTTGTTCATGCTCTCTTTTTCTATGCTACATGCATTTCTGGAGGGTCTGCTCTGTGCTACCACTGCTTAGGGGTCAGTGATAAAGCAGTGAAATCCAGACTGCCAAAGTCCTGATCTCATGGAGTTTGCAGTCTAATGTGGGGAGAAAGTCATGAAATAAGAAGATAAATGGATAATAAAACATGAGAAATGTTCCAAATTAAGACAAATCAAGGTAGCCAGGCATGGTGGCACATGCCTGTAATCCCAGTGGCTTTGTAGGCTGAGGCAGGAGAATTGCAAATTTGGGGCCAGCCTCAAAACCTTAGCAAGGCCCTAGGAAATTCAGAGGGACCCTGTCTCAAAAAAAAAAAAAAAAAAAAGAATAAAAAATAAAAGATCTGAGGATGTACTGGGGATGTAGCTCAGTGGTAAAGCATCCCTGGGTCAATCCCTGGTACCAAAAGGGGAAAAAAAAATCAAGGCAAAGGTTTAGGAATTGATGATTGTGGTCATTTCAAGCAAGATGGGAAACACCTCTGCTAAGAGTTTATTTCAACAGAAGTGTGAGCCACTCAGGTGGATACGAAGAGAACAGTAGAACAAAAACCCTGAGGTGGAGTGTGCCTGGTGTTGTCAGGAATCAGTAAGGAGGCTAGTATAGGCTGCTGTGGATGGCCAAGGAGGAGGATGGCAGGAGGGAAGGTCAGAGAGGTGTCCAGGGCCACTCTATGCAAGACTTTGGGGACCCCAACAAGGACTTCAAGCCAGAAAGCAATGAGATCTGTTTTGCAAATGCCCTTCTGGTGGAACCCTTTAAAGGGAACACTAGACTATGGGGACAAGAGTGGAAACATATGACCAAGTAACTAGAGTATTCAGACAGGAGATCTTGGTGTAGGGCAGCAGTGGTAGAGGTCGTGAGAAGTGTCAGAATTTGGTATAGAAGAAAAATCTGACCTGATACATCACTTGGTTCAAGGTGGAATGTATGCAGTCAAAATCAAAACAAACAAAAAGAGCAACATTCTATACTTATGAGCATATTAGGCACAATCCACATGCATTTGATTAGATGTCCAAAGTAGAATATGTAATACCTCGGGGGATGCACTGCGTAGGACACAGCAGAGTTGTTTACTAAATTAAAACAGACTAGAATTAGTTAAAAGATAGCTTTGCTAATCATACTAAACCGAATAGTAACTGTTATATCAGTCAAAATATTCTAACTATCCTGTTCATGGTCATGTCTTCAGCAGTACAGTTTTGAATTCCAGAACATAGACTTCCAATAGATGCTTCTCTATTTTTTTTTCCCCTTTCCCTGTGGTGCTGGGGATTGAGCCCAGGGCTTTGTGCATGCAAGGCAAGCACTCTACCAGCTGAGCATATATCCCCAGCCCACTTCTTGATTCTTACTGCCACTATAGTGTCATTGTGTAACATGATGGTTTTTGAGACATTGGCTTTGGAAATGAAAAGAAGAAAAATGAAAACTTTTTACACATTCAGTTAATTTAAATTATTGTTTAGGCAAATATTCCTCTGTTACATTTTCTGAAATTCCACAATTTTTTTTTTCCTAGGTAGGGACTTTAACTGTCTCTGAGTGTGTATTCAGAACAAATCTGTGGGACCACTGACCTTGTTATCTGTCCTAAAGCAAAATAAATAAATAAATAAATAAATAAAAAATTGATATGCTACTAACTGTTTGCTGGGCTGGTGGCAGACTGTTTCATGGACAAAAATAACAATGGAAGGAAATCATTCCTTTCATTTCTTTACCATCTGAAGTGGT